TATTGCTTGTGTGGAAAGGGATTGTATGCGTCATGTCTTGGACCTCAAAGCTAGTACAATTGGGTTTACTAAAGTTAATGTTGCGGAAGCCTGGGTGGCATGGGAAGCCCATAATGTGGCTCTCAATTTTTCCAACAGATGCATCATTATCGAGGGAGATTCTAAGCTAGTCATTGACAATTTATTGAAGAAGATTTCCCCCCTTGGAGAGTGCAGCGGATCATTGAAGAGTGTGAAGTCTTAGTCGAGAGAGTTGAAGGAAAGGTGGAATACCGGCATACTCACAGGGAAGGCAATGCGGCTGCTGACTAGTTAGTTAATTATTCGCACTGTAATGAAATTTCAATTTCTTGTATTTTGAATCCTTTAAAAGTTATTAGCTGTTTTGATTTTTGGGGACGTGCTACCCCATTCTGTGTAGCCCCTCTTTGAGGTTTATAAAGAGAGAGAGAGAGAGAGAAAGGAATTGAAGTGGTTATAGGTGAATTTAAATAGTTCTATAATTCATGTCTTTTTATATTTTTAAAGATACAAAAAAATTACAAAATTTTATGAGAGTCAAGAATCAACATGAGGGGGAGAGAGAATAAGGTGAGGTAGAAAACTGCAAGTGCTCTTTTGTCACGGGGCTAGTCGTTGGGGCCCTGTGCGGCACCCAAAGAGACAAAGCAACAACACAAGAAAAGACAACAAGATGGCACACAAATTAGTCAAAAGGCTCTTTGTATTGCATTAATTGATGGAAAGAATAAGCACACAAGTTTTGTCAAGGGGACCTTGTGCTTAACCTTTACACAGTATTGGCACACTTGACTACCTACCTCCCCTCAAAGAGTATGTTAAGATTTTGGGGGAGTAACATAAAGAAACATCAAAACGGTAAAAAATCATACTAAGTATTTAAAATAATGCCATTGGCATTCCCCCCTTACATAATACATGAATTTCCCCACCTAGGACATAGACAATGACACGGTTGGTGGGCTGCAATCACAATGGATGACACTTGATGGTATGGTGAAGAGAACACTTGTGATAGTCTCCCCCACTCAATTCAGTCTTCGTCCTCAAAAACTGGCTTCTGTGTGCTACATGCATATGTTGTTGATGAAGGAGGATTCTTTAGTTTCTCCATAAATGTTCTCTTCCAAGGTTCGGGCATAAGGTTGGGTGGAAGGCTTTAGGGTCCTCTTGATAGTGGGAGAATCTATGGGTAGTTTATAAGTTAAGTCCCTACTTGGCTGCTTCAAGGTAGGATTTTGGGTGTTTTGATTTTGTGGTAAGAAAAGTTAAGGCTAGGGTTAGGTCAAAATGATTGTTTGGATTTTTAGGGCATTGGTTCCCATGATGATTTCCTCCCAAGGATGACTCCTCATGAGGATCCTCTGAGGGTTGGCTTGAGGAAGGTGGTGGAAAGGGTACCTATATGGGTGTGGAAAGGGTGGCACTCGCTCTCCCCAAGGGTGATTGTAGTGGAAATTGTTATGGCTGTGAGCCTTGGGTCTTACAGGCATCTTCTGTGTTGGATGCTTGCGGTGTTGATGTTGGCGCTGCCGCTAACGTTGATGCTGATGTTGAGGACCTTGAGGTTGGTGCCAGTGCTGGGGTTGCTTCAATGTAGGCTGCTTTGTGATGGCTTCCCTACCCATTCCTTCACTGATGTTAGGCGCTGATGTGGGGGTCTTCTCTATTGTTGGCTCGACACTAGCTCCATGGGTGTCTGCTTCTTGGTATAACTGTAAGGCTGAAAGTTGCTTCCCGTGTACCTTTAGTGTTGTTGTCACTGGAATCATGCAAAGGGAATGCTCGTCCAAGATAAGTAAACTGTCGATGTGTGGCATGAGCGTTGCTTCCGCTTGCGTGAGAAACTCCATTCCAAGAACAACCTGAAAATCATCCAAAGGTACCAAAGATATGTTGATGTGTCCTTTCCTTGGCCCAACTTAGAGCTCCACTCCATGAGCCATGCCTTCTACTTCCTTGGCCCCTAAGTTGATAGCCTTAACCCACCTTGTTGGTTTGGTAGTGGTCAAGCCAAGTCGTTGCACCTCAACAAGTGAGATAAAGTTTTGAGTGGCCCCAGTGCCCACCAAGGCTTGAGTCAGCCTCTCGCCGAGGGTGACGTTCACATATTTTAGCCCCTTGTGGGCTTTGCTAGGCTGATTACATGTGGCCTCTTTCTTAACCATGGCATTGATGAGTTGAAGGGTGCCTACTCTTGATGCTGTTGTGGGTTTCTCCTCATCGCTCTCTTCATCATCACTAAGATTGGCGATGAGGGCATTGACCTTCTTCTACAAGGGGCATTCACTGGTCCAATACATTTCATTGCAAATGTAACATGGTGAAGGAGGTGTGGCTGGTTTTTTGGTGTATTGGTAACCTTGGGGTTTGTAAGGTCCTGTGTACTTGTGACTTGGGAGTTCTGAGGTCCTTGTGGCTTCTTCCCTTGTTGTTGATTAACTGGCTTATTGGGGTATGGTTGTTTTATCTGAGTGTAAGTTGACCGCATGTCTCCCCCACTAAAGCTATTGGTACATGGGCTATGTGGCTAGTGGTCTTCTTCATTAGGCTTCTTTAGATCAACAAGTTGCTTGGCCACCGCCATGGCTGTTGCTAAGTCCTTTACCCCACACTATAGTAGTTCAAGCTTTGCCCGTGGTTTGAGACCATCCATGAAGTTGAACAAGAGGTCATTGTCAGACATGTTGGAGATCTCAAGTGTCAAGGCTAAGAATTCTTGGACATAGTTGTGTAGTGAGTCCTTGTGCTTCAAGTTCTTCAACTTCCTTTGTACTAGGTACTCAACATTTTCAGGGTAGAACCGTCAATTGATTTCTCACTTGAAATCAGCCCAGGTATTGAGGGTATGTGTGCCACGTTGTCCTAGCAACACCTACACCACCATAACATTGCAGTGTCATTTAAATACATGGTGGTTGTGCGTACTTGAGTTAGGTCATCATGGACGCCAGTCGCGGAGAAATACTATTCAAGTTGCCACAAGAAATTTTCAAGCTCCCGAGCATCGTGAGCACCTGAGTATGGTGTCGATTGACGTATCTTGATGTGAGTTGTTGGAGCAGGTGAGATACTAGCAGAATTGGCCATGGCTCTATTTATGAGTGTCAACTCACCCCTCATCTAGCCCAATTGTGCTAGGAAACTGTCCATCATTCCTTGAAGGCTGCTTTGGGAGGAGCTACCATGTGAATGTTGCAAGGTGTTGTGGATGTCTTTGAGGGCTCCATTGAAGCGGTTTTCCAACTCCACCACAACATTCTCTATAATTTCATGTTGAGGTGTAGTTCATCGACCCAGCCTCGGGTCTCACCTACTGTTGCCTCACAATGTATTCCCACTTCTAACTAAGACACACATCTCTCTCTCTCTCTCTCTCTCTCTTTGATCCATTTAACTAAACTTATGTGGTTTGTTGGATTAGGTATGGTTTGGTTTTTATTAATTCGGCCCATTTACTTTGAATGGTATATTACCTATTGTTTATAGTTAATCATTTCATTTTATTACAACTCAAACCAAAATAAGTTAATTATTTTCGTGATTAATTAAAATTTCCAAAACAACATTACTATTTTTAATAATGAATAATTTTCATTTTAGTAATATTTTTGGGGTTAATTACTAATATTGTTGACAATTTACTAATAGTTTACCAAAATTAATTAATTCTTTTAGGACTAATTTAATAGTACCAAAATTCACTTAAAATCTATTATTTATATCCATGATTGATTAAAAATTGCCAAAATTTAATACCAAAATATATTACTGTTTTTAGTAATTAATATAGTGATATAATAATAATTCATGATTAATTAATTAGTGATATATTACCAACAAATTAATTAATTACCAATAATAATAATAAATAAATAAATTAATATTAAAATTTAAAAATTAATAATTGTTTCGTGAATAGTTAAATTGATTATTAAATTAACTATTAATAATAGTAATATTTTTATAAATTAAGATTTATAAAATTTATTAATTCATAATTGAGAATTATTAACTATAATTATAGATTTACTAATAATTTTTTTAATATTAATTATAAAGTTTAAAAATAATCATTAACTATTTTTTGCGAATAATTAAAAAATACCACCAAATATTACTACTCTTAGTAATTAATATTACTWTTAGTAACTATAAATTAAATTTGGTGCTATTAATTACTAGCGGGGATCCTACGATGCACGAGTTTTGTTAAAAGAATTTGAAGCAAAAGGAACTAGAGGTGTACCTTGGGTTGGGTGAGCCTAACTCGAGTCCAACACAGTTCAACCCAAGCTTTTGCATAAGCTGGGCTTGAATTTTTGAACTTCAAGCTGGGTTTAGGCCAAAAAACTTAAGGCTAACCTAAACTCGTGTTGGGTTTGAGTTGATGCCTTAGGTAGTTTAAACTCGACCTAACCCAATTTGAGCCTATACCAACATTTTATGATATACATATCTACATATTATCAATATGTTCTACTTAGAAATTGGGCTATAAAGTTCAATACGACCAAACCCAAGTCCAACCCAAGATGTTAGGTTAAGCTCGGGTTGGGCCTAAGTTGGTATACCTGGGCCTGGGTTAATAAATTATTAGTAACTTTTGTTATATGTTAGTAAATTATCAGTAATTATTGAAAATTACCAATAATTGGGCTTGGGATTGGACATGTTGAATTTTATAGCCCAAATTCTAGGTAGAATGTATTGATAATATATAAATATGTATATCAGAAAATGTTGAATGGACTCAAATTGGTTGAATCGGGCTCGGATTACCCAAGGCCTCAACTCAAATCCAACCTAAATTTATGTTAAACTTGAGTTTTTTTTCAGTTCAACTTCAAACCCAACTTATACATCATATTTGATTGAATTGAGTCGGGCTTAGATTAATGCCTACTCAAATTGCACCCGTAACTATGCACGGATTCCACTAAGATATTTATATTTGTATTTATAATTGTACTCTTTCCAAACTCTGGATTGTCCCTCGCAAGAAAAATGCTCTTGGCCAGACTCAACCCACTGTATCAATGAAAAATGGCAACCAGACCGACGATCTTGGTCGGACACGGCGGAGAATGAGATGAGTGAGCAACAAAAAAGTTTCCATTACGGTGGCCGGCAGCGGGACCAGACAGTGCCAAATAGTACCCACGTGCCATGTGACCACGTGAGGTGAGGGGGCAGTGAACAAAGCTGAGAAGCAACAACTCCCATCACGTCATCGTCAAAACTCACAACAAAATGACTGGCTCTGGTCGTCTCTCCGGCTCTGGCTGCAACTCTGTCCCTGCAGCAGTGCAACTAATGGTTTAATTGCCCGCCATGGTTCCGGTCTGCGGCGCAAGCGACGCCCCTGAAGGCCGTTGCGGATGTGGTGATACTTTTCATGGCGAGAACTGCTCGAGAGTCCATGAACAAACATGTCCTCGGTGCGGTGGAAAATCTGATCCTTCTTCATCATCTCCGTGCCATGTTCTTAGCTCCGATTCGAGATATGAGAAAGACTTCGAGAAGGTTTGGAGATGCGTTTGCGCCGCCGCCAAGGGTTTCAGTATTGGTGCGGGTCTCAAAGGTGGTCTTGCTGCCTTTTCGATACTCGCTCGGTTGAGAAGAGGGAGATCCTCTGCTTCTCGAAGGTTAATTATATGTCATTTTGTCAATTTTGATATTTAGTTGGGGAGGTTGTCATTTGATTGAACTAATAAACCTTTTCGTTTCAGGACGGCTATTAAGGGTTCGAATCGTGAAGCGGTTGTTGTGGCCATTAAAGAGACTCTTAGATACGGTCTCTTCCTCGGCACCTTTGCGGGTACATTTGTTTCTGTAGATGAGTGTATAGCTGCTTTGGGAGGACATCGTAGGCATGTCACCGTTCTTTCTGTGAATCCATAAAAATTGAATGTTTTTGGTTCGGGACGTTTGACAATTCTTAGTTATTACTAGTACAGAAGAAGTTTTGATGCTTTTTGGTCGTGTAATCAGTTACCCTGTCATTCTGGTTCAGGACGGCAAGATGGAGAGCCTTGTTAGCAGGGGCGATTGCTGGGCCTTCCATGCTTTTGACTGGACCCAATGCACAGCACACAAGCTTGGCCATTTATATCCTTATGCGTGCTGCTGTCCTAGCTTCCCGATGTGGAATAAAGAGCAAACGATTTGGACGCATTTGTAAACCTTTGACGTGGGCACACGGAGACATTTTCCTTATGTGCCTCTCTTCTTCACAAATTCTGTATGTACACCTTCTGCGTACATCACAGTTTTAGTTTAATACTTGTGGCTTCTACCTTCTAGCACCGAACCTTTTATTTCTTAAATTTTTATAATGAATTTCTCCTGAACGTTTTGCATCCCAAGTTATTTGGTATCCTTTCATACTCATCAAATTCAGTTTACATTTCTTTGRTGGATAATCAAATTCAAATTACTTGGTATGCATGCGCAACCTTGGGAGGAAGGCCAGAGAGAATCGTTAGTACTTAGTAGTATCTATGCTGATTATTAGGGTAATCAGAATGGTCTCTGTCTAGCTAATCGTGTAACTCTAAAATCTCCTTTCCTTTCTTATTCATTAATAAAGTTTCTTTCATCTGTTGAAAAGCAAAACTAGTGATCCTCCAGTTTTATCTATTAAAAGGAAGTTGTACATGTTATTATGGTCTCCGGTGTTTATTTATTCTGCCCAATTAGAAGCATACAGTACTGTTTTTTGGGAAAAAGGATTGCAACCTTAAGGTTTAGCTGATATAAAGCAGCCAAGAGGTTCATCAGTAAGACATTGTGACGCCGACCTCAAGTGTTTGATGTAGGTGATGAGGTTATGGTCTTCTTAAGGAAGGAAATAATTCCCATAGGTACCTACAACAAGTTGAAGCCTCGGAAGTATGGTCCATACAAGATCGTGAAGAAGATTAATGATAATGCCTATATAGTGGACCTACCAGATCATATGGGTATATCCAAGACCTTCAACGTTGCTGACCTTCACCGGTACCTGCCAGAGATAACACTTGCCTATTTCAAAAATTGCCTCTTTTGAAACGAAGAAAGGAGGGCCAACATCCTGAGCAAAGTAACGATGAACAAGTTATCTCAGAGTCAGCTCTAAATAAACTTGTTGGTACTGCAGATACATACAATTTGGAGGGAATGGATCCCCCAAACACACTCACGTGTGATCTAAGGCCGTATCAGAAACAAGCCCTTTATTGGATGACAGAATCGGGGAAGGGAACTGATGTTGAGCAAGTGGTCAAAACACTTCATCCATGTTGGTCAGCCTACCGTATATGTGATAAGAGAACGTCTACAATCTATGTTAACAATTTCTCAGGGGAAGCTACTACACAATTTCCCAGTGCTTTAATACTTGCGGACCTTCATCGCTACTTACCAGAGACGACCCTCGCAAATCCTAACCACGACTCGGGGTCGAGTCTTTTCCAAGTGGGGGAGAATGATGGAGACCCATCTCATCATATGGGCGACAACTCATGGGAAGAATTCAAGATAAGCCAAAGAACTCAAAGAATCCAAGATAATTCAGGAATTCAAGATACATCAAGAATTCAAGAACCCAAGATTATCAAGACTCTTCCAAGATTAGCAAGATAAGGCAAGACTCTTCCAAGACTCTTCCAAGATTATCAAGAAAGACTCATCCAAGATCCACGCATCTAGAGAGATCGGACAGTGGAGATCAAACCCAAGAATTCTAAGAGGGTTCGACCTTATCAAGACAGCCCAAGAAGATCAAGATCAAGATCAAGCTCAAGACTTATGTTCTTTCCTAGTTCTTTTACAATTCCCAAATGTATTATAAATACTGCTATTTTCCCAAAGTTATTCATCAATTCATACTTCAGATTTCAGAATTTCTTCAAGTTCTCTTCTTCCTATTTTCGCCACCTTTTCTCTCTCCTAGAGAAATCGGTGTTAGTCGCTAGGTGCTAGCGAATGCCCGGTGCTTGCATAGCCAGCTCCGGTTCTCATTGCTTCCACGCTGCGTCACATTGAAAAATAAACATGTCATCATGTCGGGAATTTCAGAAGGGAGCCAAATCAGTAAAATTGTCTTGTAAGACAGTCTTTATGTTAGAGTTCTTTACCCGTATAGGAGCCATACTTATATGTTGGGTTTGTCTGGCTTTATTTTAGGCTTCTTCCTTTTCCTTCTTTTTTTCATCAATAAAGACAGAAGGAAGCACAACTCCGTACCAGTAAGTATGCAGGTCCTAGGTGTGCTTTTAAAGGAGGAAAGTTCCAGGGGTCAACACCAACATGGTTAGGAGTGGAATCCCTTGTCAGAGGATCTGGGAGATTAGGCTATCAGGAATAATAGTTCTGGAAGGCAGGGTTAAAAAAGAGCAAATGCCCAGTTTGTTTTCTCCTGCTGACGGCACTTTAGGATCAAACCTGTGAGGCTGTGATCTTATGAGTTGAAAGATAACCACTCTGATGGGCATTTTTGGCCTGAGGTTCCAATTAGTGTCTGTTATTGGATCTGGGTCAAGGAAGAAGTTTCATTTGACAACAGACAATGAATTAGTGGAAAAGGTTGAATGTAGTAATACTTTAGAGATTTAGGAAGAGGAAGAGGTGGTATTAGATAGTGTGAGAAGGGTTGACATTTTGATGGAAAGTTTAGAGTCTATTGGTAGGTAAGAGACATATTGTTAGAAGAGGTGGTCCTAGCAAGGAACTTTTGTTTTTTTAATTTTCTTTGGTTGGAGGTGACACCAAAGTTAAGGAACACTTTCTGATAAAAGAGAAGTCAGGACAAGGGAGACTTAAAGGTAGTTCATCAAGAGTTAGAGGGAGAAAAGGGGGTTGCAAAGAAGGTACTAATTAATTTTATTGGCAGGTTCTTTGGGTGAGGATGAGCTAGATAACTGGAGAGTTGTTTGACCGATCAATGGGGTTGGGGTGGTATCCTAGTTTGGATGGAATTTCTGGAGGTTGGAGTGGATGTCCCTTGTGGTAGGGCACCATTTGTGGGAGGTTGTTGTAATACTTGGTGTTTTTGTTGTTTTCTGTATATTGAGGCTTTTTGGCTTTTTCTTGGGGCTATGGTCTGAGGGGTTTATATCCTTTTCCCCTGCTATTCTGTTTTGTATACATCTTGTTTATCTTCCATTTTTCTTATTTATAAAGGATATGGTAACCATCACCGATAAAAGATTAGTTACAACTTATAAGTTTAAATGTCCTTGGAAATCCTTTTCTCTTTTATTTTTGGGACTCCTCAATGCATCTTTCAGTTGACAATTAAACAACAATTCCATTTTGCAAGTTGATTATTGCTTTCTTTTGTTTACTTATTGGATACGATTACCAGTACAGCAGTACCAGAAGGTGTCTTGATTAATAAGATATAGCTTGCTTCTATACTTTGAAATTATATGTTCATTATTCAACATCTAACTTGTCAACATATAGACTCATTTAGTTTAGTCTAGATATACTAAAATGTTGCCATTCCACGTATCTTACTCCTAAACACATATCCATGCACACATCCCTTTGGTTTTCATATCACCTATTTTGCACTGGAGAAACTTTGCAACTATGGACTTTGTAAAAGGTAGAATTTTCTTTTTATTATGATGGAATGTAGATTACCTTTGAGGTGATATAGAGACTTATAAGATGGATTTTACCTAATGGGAAGTTTTAAATCTATAGGTTCAATACTAGACATTGTACCATTGTGAAAACTCACTTTCTGATCATTCTCCAATACTTAAATTGAATAATTCATCATGCATTTTGTCCAAAATGGTGTGTCTTTACGAGACATCTATTTTACAGCCAAATCTTCATTGGTGCAGCTCAAGGTTCAAAATTTCAATACGTATTGGAYTGTATCGGCCAATACGTATCGTATCGAGGGCTTTCCGATACACCACTACAGGGGGTGTTTCGGGGTTTAACCCAGTTCAGGGGGTAGACAGGCCTCAAACTGACCCTTCTAAATCAGGTTTAAAAAAACTAAAAAAAAGGGAGAAATCAGCTTCGATACAGGCTGATTTGGCCCTACCGGCATATTAGTCATATCGATATTTTGAACCTTGGTGCAGCTTATTCCTTTTTTCCCATTAGATAGTTGAAGTATTAGAATATGATCACCACATTGTACATTTGGAATTTGGAAATGGTACGCTTGAAATCATGTTCACAATGTTCTTGAGATGTTGATTTTTTGTACATGCATGCTTCTTGCTAGTTATTGCCTCTTCTATTTTAAGAGGGGAAACAGATGAAAAGCCATAGATTATTGACCTACTGCATTCTTTTGACAGATCGGCTTACATATTGAAGCAAGACAGTTTGCCTCCATCATATAGATCTTTTCTAAATAAACATGGTGGAAAGGATTCTGTTATTTTACAAGGGGTCAAAGAAATTACAAGTGGTGTTCCTTTTACTAATTTGGAAGGGATAGAGAAACATTACAAGTTGCAGGGTGTGAACATAAAACTAGATCCTGAAATGAAAGTACCATGTTCGGTATGCATTCCCCTAATTTTCTTTTCTTATTCTTTATTCCTTTTCTTCTTTACATGTAGATTTTGTTGCACTGCAACTCTTTCACAAGGATATTTTGGTTGTCAACTACCTCACAGTGGTTTCTGCATATGAATTGATGGGTTACATGTTGGTTAGCTAGAGGGTTAAGGATGAATTCACTCTGAGCTCTAAGAAGCAATGTTTAGAAAGCTACGTGTAGGATGGTAATAAAAATAATATGTGTAGGATATTTGAATGCATGAGGCATAAGCCTCGTGAGATTCAATTCTTTCAACGTAAAAATGAAATAGGAAAAGTGCACAAAAGGATTATCTTTTTTATAAGAAGAATGTGGACATGTATTTGTCATCATATAAGCAAGGATTATAATGTTTACAGCTTTAAAAATAAAAAATTAATTGAATTCTTAAACTTCAAGATTACTAGACAGATCTTAATTCACAAGAAAACTTCAATTGATATTAAAACCCAAAATATTTGAAACATACATACAGAAATGTGCTTGGAAAACTTAGAAATTGGTTTCTTTAGTGGTTTTGCTGTGGATCATGGAAGCAAAAGAGCAAAAGGATATCTTCTCCTGTTCTTTTGATGCTTATTTTATTTATGTTATTTTCATGTTACTCAAATTGTTAATAAACATCTTGTATTGGGAGATCTGGGAAGGTTCGAGAATTTCTTGTTTTGATAAACTTGTTGAATTTTGGAAGCTCCTGTTCAAGGGTATTCTGGTGACTTTGATGCTTCATTTTTCATCATGTAACTGACTAGTGACTATGGGTGAGGGGGCTCAATGAGGGTTCTTGTGGGTGGTTGTGAGGTTGACTAAATTCTGAATGTCCCAAGGTTAGCTTAAAAGAAAACATTTGACAATGCAGAAAACTCTGAATTAGTTTAGCATTTGACCATGGAAGCAAACTTTGAATGTCCCAAGGTTAGCTTAAACTCTGAAGCTTCCAAATTATTTAATTTGTTAATTTGACTATGCAAAATTGGTTGCTGGTGGCACCATTTATTGCCATTACCTTGTTGGTAAAGATCTTCCATAACTACTATTTGTTCAATCTTAATGCAGATTGTACATGGAAATCAGTCTTGTGCTGCACACATTATTTCTTTTCTTGTTCAGGCTTATGGAAGAGCATTGCCAGTCTATCTTCCAGTATATTTGATTCCTGCACTAATAGTCCATCGTCAGGGCCTCTTGGAAAGGTATCAGATTTGTCTTGTCAGAAAAAAAAAAGATATCAGATTTGCTTAGTGGTTCTTTGTTATACGTCCAATCCCCCGAACCCCAGCTTTTTAATCGGCAGCAACTTGGATAAATCCATCTTCCTCATTAAGATTCACAAATTTATATTTTTATCCACAATTGTGGTACAAAGAAGATTAACAAAAAAAAGTTAGTGGTAGAGGCAATCTATATTTACAATCGTATCTTCTGCATGAACTCTTTCTCATTCTACAATATTTGGCACTTAGGTCTAGCTTTCAGTCTGAGTGGACCCCTCTAGCATCAAGCTAGATACCATGCATACACTCAATTGATTTAAAAACAATGATTTATCATAATAGAATATCTATATTGCAAATCAGCATCAATTTGGGATAAGTTGGCTCATTCTATGTTTCATTAGTTTATCTGGGGATTTTTTTTGGCTTCTAAGAGATTCCTGGGGATTTTGGACTTGCTCTTGTTTTAACCTCCCTATAGTAACTAATTAGATGATGTTTCACTGCTCATGGTTGATCATACTTGAATTTCATGATTATATATCCTAGAACTTTTATGTTTCCTTTTCTTTGCTTGCATTGTGTTTCTATTATTTTTATCATTCATTTTACTTCTTAACCATGACATTATTTTTATTTCTCACCTGATATATTTCTACTTAATACCATGCAGTCCTTGTACAATTTTGGGGAAGGGTCTCTTTGGCACAGCAAGATCAAGCCTGTTTCTTTCTGTATATTGTGCATCAGCCTGGTTAGCATTTCACTTTGCTTATATTGTATTTAGTTTCAAGATATCATGGTAGCTACGGTCCAGTTCTCTTACAATGAACATCCTGTGGATGTTTTCTTTTCTTTTTTTCCTTTTTTTTCCTGGGTACAAGTGGAAGAAAACAAGCATTTCATGGGAAATTCACGTACATGTCAACATTTACTTTCCATGAAAAAGGATTTCCCATGAAATGCATTGTTGTGTTTGAATTATCCTTGTCATGGAACCATATTAAATCCCTCGAAATTGTAGCTTGCAATTTAGGCACAGGTTTACAAGGGAAGAGGAAAAGAAAATGATATGCACTTGCCAAATGCCAATTGATTGTTTTTTTTTTTTAATGAAGTCTTCTTTCTTACAACTATAGCAAGATCAAGACTTGATGAATTTACATGCTCAACTAGGGATTGAATCAACATAAGTTTTACATTCTGAAACAATATACCATTGCAATCTGTTAATTCTTTTAATTTTCTCAGAAATCAGCAACATAATCTTTCCTTCCATCTACAGGATGTGGACCTGTTTGCTGTTCAGGATTTTTAAGACATGTAACATTCCCATGGTGGTGATGGGAACGGTAATTGGACTTATATTCTATTCCTTCCCACATAGCATTGCTTTCCAGTGTCTATCTGAAATGAGTTTGTTTGTGTTACATAAGTTTCCTCCAGGTCTAGCCTTGGGGATTGAGAAGAAAAGTAGACGGTTCGAAATCTCTCTATATTGCTTGGCAAGAGCCATTGAGAGCTTCTTCACATGTTTGGCTGATGCCGATCTGCTGCCAAGGTCAAGTAAGCTGAAGAGAATCGACGTGGTCGTATTCAGTTTGTCAACAGCCATCATCATGCATTGTTATGCACAAGAGAGGGAAGTCTTCCGCTCCAAGTACCTGAACGTTCTCGACTGGGTGTTTGGTGTTCCTCCACCACCATGCGAAACCCCACGTTGCAAAAACAGTTAAATTATGGGTTTATGGGATTTACAAAGGAAATTCTTCGCTCCAAGTACCTGAACTGAATCCTCTCCCCACAACTGTGAAACCTTTACCACGTAGAATTCAAGTGGTAGTTCAGTACTAAATTTACTCCATCAAACACAAACACCTGCAAATAAAATAGTTTGTTGTAAATTATAATTTTATACACACTTGTACAGTTTCAGGCTTTTCGGTTTTAATAATTCCAATAAAGCCAAAAATTAATGGTCGTTTAATCTTCAAAGTGGCAGCTGAGAATTTCTTTTCTTGTAATAATGGCTGCCAAGCTGGTGAAAATTTCAAGTTGACTGATTACGACGAATCTAAACATAGCCAAGGCCATCCTGAACCGGTCGGTCTACAAGGAAAAAGGTTTTAGTTTTTTCTGGTGAACCCTCTCAGTTTTCAAGAACTGTTGAACTACACAAATCGGCGCAAAACGCGATGATGCGTGACGGAATTCATTCTTTACCCTCCTCCTGCGGGAGAGCATTTTAACCCGTGTTTGGATTTTTTTTTTTAGAAGTAAAATATCAATATCAGAGCGTTTGAAAAAGAAGCAAAACTATATTTTCATTGATTGATCCAAAACAGAAAGACGATGGTAGTTCTATATTACCAAAGAAAGAAAAGAAATTTCTCAACTTACATGACAAAATCTAAACCCCACAAAAACCCTAGTTTTCGTCGCTGGAGCGGTAAGAGGAAAAATAAGTTGCGACACGGTCAAGCAAAAGCAATGGATCTCTCAGACCTCGTCTTCGTGAAGGAGCATGTTGGGGATTCCCTTGTTGACCGGGAAGCGCCGACCGGTCTCCGGGCAGATTAGAACACCTTCTTCAAGGTGAAGCTCGAGTAGGGCGTGGTGGAACTTCTTCAGGAAGTCGTCGGAGTCGAGCATCGATGAATCGGCCTCATCGGGAAGTTGAGAGTAGCCCATGGATCGAGAGGCATCGACGAGAGCCTTCCATTCGATCTTGGGGAATATGTTTCTAAGAAACTCTGCACTGAAATCGACTTCTTTCTCCACAAATTTCTCGACCTCGAGGCGTAGAGGGAAACCGTTCGTCACTCCTTTGATGTTGCAAGAGAGCATGTTGTGTGTCAAGAGTCTCATTTCTCTCGGTCGGTCAACAGCGGCCGGAGCTCGGGAGAGGAAAGACTGATAGAGTATTGCTTGCCTAACTCAATAGTTCACTTATACGGTCACAATGACAAAAATGCCCATTTTGTAATAGGGAAAAACCGAAAAAAGACCGTCTTATAGGCGGAGTACGTTACAATTATACCTCTTTCTCTTTCGGTCGATGTAATTTATGACTTTATGAGGACAATCGGGCCGTTGAATTAAAATCTTTTAAGCCCAGTTTGGGAAGAATATAAATGTAAACATGGTTTAGCAATATAATATATAGGGTTTTATACTGTATATTTATATTAAAGTGATAGAATTGTCTTAGAAAGTGGATTCTGTGCAGAATTGTTATTAGTAAAAATCAAATGATCAAGGCTTTGGAAAAAAAAAAAGGAAAAAACATTGTTGAATGAAATCGTTTTAGCTCGTGAAGGTKTTTTTTTTAGCTCCATGACAAGGTAGCACAACCCCCAAACGTATAGACCTTCCCTCCAAACTCAGCCGCAGGTGGGATTCAATCCTAAATCTCGGCTACAACTAGTAGAAGACCTTATTACCTTACCAATCAGTTAATTGGCATCTTGTTTTTAGTTTGCAAAATTACAGAATTAGAGGGGGTTGTTTAGGGGTGATCATTTCAGCCCTACCTGGCCCGGAAAATCTGGGCTTGGGCCTAGGTTTTTTGTTAAGGCCCGGTCTGTATATTTATAAATAATATATATCTTTATGTATATATATTATTCAAAAATATTTGATAATTGATGTTTTATATATAAAATATAGATTAATAGAGATTTATAGGAGATTAAAGATTTTAATCCTATGATGATCTTACTAAATTCTAGTCTAGTATTTAATGAAATATAGAACTAAAAGGAAATTACTAAACCCTAATCTTTTCTGCTCTCTTTCTCACCAATTTCATAAAACCACCGCCACGCCCAATCTCTCTCTCTCTCTCTCTCACACACACACACACACCAAGAGATGAATCTTCTAGTGATGAAGATAAATCTGAAGTTTAGAGTGGTTGCAAGTTTTTGGTAAAATTGAAACCATTTTCAATATTTTATTACTTATTTATTTATATTAATTTGAACTATTTTTTCTTAATTTACTAATATATTTTTTATTTTACTTTTTATTTGTAGGAGTTGAATGGAAGACGGAAACCCTTATAGAGATGTTTAAAGTTGTTTTGTGGATATTACATGACAATGGATGGTTATTTTTTGATAGATATTATAGGTTTTAGGTTGATTTTTTGTTGATAAAAGAATTGGTTTGTTAAAATTATCATTTTTAACATACTAATGACCAATTGAAACTTATAAATTACAAGGTATAATTATTTAATTTCTTTTATGTTAGAAGCTTTTATTTTAATATTAAGTTTAAAGTTTCTTACAAATTACTATAGTCTCTACGACAATAAATAAAAAAAAAGTACAATTGTTTAATTTTAAAATCAAAATACATAGGTCCAAAATCATGGCCCGGCCCGCTCATGATCACCCCTAGGATTGTGATTGTAATAAAAGATCAAATGAACGACTTTAAATGTGTTGTTTGTTAGGCTGTCTATAATGAATCATGTATTCCAATCATGAGTAAATACACCAGTAATTGGGATCAGCAAGCAACAAATCCCCATGTGACAATTCACCCTGTTACTCTTTATTTTTTAAAAAATGAATATGAATACTTTTCATTCTATGGGTATAGGAACAGTTTCATTTCATGGGAGCTGAGGTCATAAAGTGGCATATCTGCCAATACAATGGAATTGTGTGGTAACAGTTCATTCCCCTATCATATGGAATGACCAATGCTCCATATACCAGCATTTGTCTTTTTTTAATAAGATAGAAGATTATGAGAGTGTTTGGTTCCATTTATTGTAAAACTGAAAAACACATTTAATGAGGGCATTTATGATACATAAGTGCCCATTAGGCACCATATCAGCAAAATGCCAATAAATGTCTAACCGTTTCAGGAAGCTCCAATATGAATTTTCTTGAAACAGGAAATATACACAAAAATTGAAGTTTGTATTTGTAAACTTTGATATATACAAATGCAATTAATGAGGCATTTGTTGATGGGGCGCCTATGTGGCACCGTCAATAAACTTTTATTCAATAAACGTAAACGGAACCAAATAATTCATAAGAGCCCACAAGAGACTAAGCAGCAAACCAATGAGGGCAGTTAACAAAAAGATGCTCTGATCTTGCAAGTCTCTCTTTGCTTAGAACATGGGAATTCCTGACCATGTAAACAAAAGAGACMTCAACAGGAGTAGCTTAAGATGTCTTTGAGCAAGAAAAACACATCTGAGCAAAAATTTAAGACCCTTTTGTTTGCACTTTTGATCAAGCTTTGACAGTCCGATGCAAGCACTAACTTGTTAAGGCCTAAATGCATATAGCTTATTCGTGATCATCTGGTTTGAATGTGTTGTAATTACAGTTTATAAAAAATTATTTTTCATTATTTTACTGCATGTCTCATATTGGAAGTGTTCGATATAGAGGTGCTGCGTTGCTTTTACATTTTGGGTTGATCAATATAAATTTGTATAAGAGAGATTTTTCTACTGAAAAAACATTTTGAATTGATCAATAAAAATCAAGGTTTTTAAAATCGATCCGGAGAACGAACCGATCAGGGGTCCAGTTTTCGGGTCTAACGGTCCAACCATTCAAACTGAATGATTGGTCCATTTTGACAAATAAAAAATAAAAAATGGTCAAAACCGTCCGAACGATTAACTGTTCGAGTCAGCCGTTTGCTGACCAAAATCAAAAGTTTTTGGAGAAAATCCGGCTTTGAGATAAAACAGACCTGACCGGTTCCCGGTTTTTCTGGTCCGACCGTCCGGTCCAGTCTGGTTTTGAAAACCATGATAAAAATTGATATGTCTACCTAAAATGTGAAATTTGGCATTTCGACCACAAGTGACATCGATTAATCACACATGCATTTTTCTATTTGAAATAACACTCACATATGATCTAACAAAATATATTTCTCACAAATTTGTATTGATCTATTCAAAATACAACAACAATGTAACACCACTGTACCAAACACCCCTATTGTGAATTTGTTTTACACCACAGTGCTAAGCTCATAAAGGAAGAGGATTCTATCAGGTTCGCAGCCGCATTAAACTTTTACTAAACTCTCATGACCATGGAGCCTGAATTAATTTAATAACATATATGGCATTCAACAAAATGGAACGACGAAACAGGATTATGTAATCAACCTCATATATTTGGGACACAGCTTAGATGATGATGATGATGTTGATGACTACACAATGCAGCAGTTGTATGGTAAAGCCAAACCTATATAATCAAATTAGAAATAACCAAACACCCCATGAATTTGATAAGTTGCCTTGTGACCTGCAATAGCAGGTTTCAAGGCTGCCGTAACCCACGGTTCTTAGAGATGATTAGCTCAATCAATACTTTATGGTATGGTAAAAATTAAATAATTTTTTGTTATGATTCAGAAATAAAATATAACATTAACGATTAATTGATTATACTGCTCGTTAATTATTACATATACAAGGAAAGTGGTGCCAATCAGCTGGTTGGTAAGATCTCCTGTTGGTCGTAATGGAGACTTGAAATGAAATCTCGCCTGCAACTGAGTTGGCGGATGGATTACCCCCATTGGGATCCAGTTGAACATGTTCAATTTTGACAAATAAGGAAATGGAATGGTCATCTGTTTCTACATTCCTGCTTCTGGGGTTTTATCTCACATCAAGGCTTGATCTCCCACCCACAAAACATTCCAGCCACGGGAACATTCTCAATACACAGCGGGGATGTGCTGTGAAACGTTGTGGGGGGCTGATTTGAACTCCCTGCGACCACAGTCGCCATTCATGTGGGAGTTGGGAATTGGGACCCCTTGTGGTAGTGTTAAGGTTTTCTCTTTCAAATTCCAACAACCATCCTCGTCCAAACTCCAAACAACCAGGTTGATATCCATGGAGTGGGCAATTCTGCAATGCATGTGCCACCTCGCACGACTTTGTAAAGAAATGAAAAATAGGTAGAAGTAGTAGAACTGGAATAATTCATCATATATGATATAGCAAAATAGGTAGAAGTAGTAGAACTGATTGAACCAGAGCAAGTACACATGGCTAATCAAGGGCATTGCCATACATGGACATGAATCAGAAATGGCGACAAGGTAGTTACAGAATCCATATAGAAAAAAAGAAATGAAAAATTCCTGTAAATCATATCCCAAATTGAATATCTAACAAGAGAGAAGGGCAGGCTAATGCAATTGCATTGCATTCTATTTTAAAAATTAAACATTCTCAACAATGAAGAATACAAGTGTCTATGAAACTCATCATTTACACTCCCTTTTTTCTTATTGTCCAACATATTCATATCCCAAATTGAATATCTAATAAGAGAAAAGGGCAGGCTAATGCAATTGCATTGCATTCTATTTTAAAAATTAAATATTCTCAACAATGAAGAATACAAGTGTCTATGAAACTCATCATTTACACTCCCTTTTTTCTTATTGTCCAACATACCAAAGGATAGTGTACTTCCACCATTCACTGTACATGGAAACCACCTAAATATGCCTCGGCATGTCATCTCATCTCATCTCAGTGATATTAGAGAGCTCTTCCCACAGGTTATATCAAAGGGGAAATAAAGAAAATTTGAGAAAACAAGAAAAGGAGTTAAAAAAGGATAGCAAATAAATACTACCCAGAACTGAAAAGGCTCAATACAAAAAATTCCCCTCAACTCTTGCTAGTAACAGCAGCTTGGCTCTCATAGAACAGGATGTACCCATGGTCTGTGTTACTAGAATACTCCTGCGCTGACCCAAAGAATGTTTGAACGGCAGACTCATCTATCATCTCCACATTCTCATCATCGAAAAACAGCCAGTGGTTATGGCTCTTCACCAGGCTTACATAATGTCCATGGTTTGGCCCGCTTCCAACATGGACAACAACTGCAAATAATGAATATTCTAGGTCTGCATCTTCCATTGTATTGCTCAGCTTCAGTTCCAATGGAAACACAACACGGTAAGAGAGTTTCTTGTACCGACCAAGTTGCTCAATGTACTTGAAACGCTTCAGATGGATAACCAAGATGTGTGGTGGTTTCTTTATCTTCATCCGCTTCTGGGCTTCCTGCAAACTGCATTAGAGAAGTAGCATGGTTGAACATTTGGGTGATTCAAAACAATGAATACAAGTATACAGTGTGTCATTCCTTTTCTCAAAACACCACCAGAAAATGCTGTTCTCTTCACCCATCCCATACACTGAGTACCTGCATGAAAGCTGCAACCCATCATTTGATGGGTCCCTATGACATCTCCCAGGTCAAAAAATTTACTCAGTTAAGAAAGGATTGGGCACCATGGGTAACTCAATATGGTCAATAATTTTGCCTAAGAGAACTTGTAGGGAGCAGCAGTTGGATGGTGGACGTGAATGCCTAGTGGGAGCAAACAATAGGATCAATGACAAATATTCTAGTTCTACCTTTCAAATGTAAAAACAGATAGGATGCTATAATTGTATATAGCAACACATAAAGATGTATGCAAAATTCACCTGCAGCACTTGTCACAAAAGAATTTGTCCTCCGCATTTAGAGTCTCGGTAGAACTGAAATTTTTAAGGCAACTTGTGATTGAACTGTTCTGTTCAATATCAAGACTCAAGTCTAGGAATGTTTCATCCCTTGCCGTTACTGTCTCACATCGTAGGCACCTTGTCTCATTTGTCAGTATACCCTGCATTTATAAAGTCATCAACAATAGAAAGTCTTCTGGATAAGAAGATAATAGATAAGATCTCTACAAACCAATATACTAAAACAGGTTTTTCATCATGCAAGCCACAGTACACAAACAAAGCCCACCAACAGATCAGTCCATCCTGGGCCAACATTTCAGTGGGCAACAACCAGAACACTGGTCTACAGATGCATACTTCACAGTTAGAACCTTTTTCCAGTTTCCGTGTTAAGATATTAATTGAGAATTTGAGATGCAGTTCGCAGCTAGTAAGCTGTGGATATTAGATGACGGGCCCACCAACCAAACTATTAATATTGATCCACAGGCAGGGCACATGTAGGTAAAGCAATGGCACTTTTGTTTAACCACTTTATATTTAACTTCTCACCCATACTGAAAGTTTAAAAGGAAAGGAAAAAAGAATACAAAAAATTGTTTATCATGCATGAACTGAGAGCAGAGAGAAATCAACCAAGTCAAAGTCACCTGAAAATTTTTGTGAACCCAAGTAACCAGGGGCTCCCTTTGAACACCATTGGCATGTGCACTTTTCGGCCCATTTGCAGTATTTTCTGATGGTGATGAAGTTTCTGGAGAACTTTTTGCAGCACGGGATTCTTTCTCCAGTATGTCAACCAGCTCATTCAGCAAGAAGTTCAAAAATTCATGTGCATCCTACAGGGAAAGTGGAAGATGATTTCAAAAGGAGTGTCTTACGACAACACTTTAAAATTTAAATGTCTATAATATTTGAATATTTTGGATACTTTTTTATACGTATGGATCTCTACAGTTACTCACTTTAAAGCCTCACTCCAAGGGTGTTTAAGCTCCCCTTTTTAATGAAATCACACTTTACCTTTCTCAAAAAAAAAAAGAATAAAAGAAAAGAAAAACAACTGCTTTTAAAGCACTGCCCTACACCATACCCCACATTGGCAGAGCCTCATGCATTGGGCTTTCCTTTTATATTTGAGATATGGCATTATGAAATTCTTTAGACAACATGGAGCTCCCTAGAATATCACAGTATAAACTCTTCTAAATGAAACCATTGAAGCATCTATAATTATAAAGCATGTAATAAGTAATAACATGGTAAAGACAAACCAAAGCATACTGACTAAAAGAAACTACAAAAAGGAAAAGGAGAAATAAAAGAAACAAAACAAAAAAAAAAAAACAACTGAGAAGCATCTATCTTCCAGTTTGGTGTACATCAGTATGTCAGTCTGGGCATATAGACACATTTTATGAGTAATGGAGTCATAAGTCCCATGAACTACAGGGATTATCTTATCCAATGATAGGCTGCCAGCAGTTTTGGCCAATCACATCAAAAGTTCAAGTAATGATCATCAAATGAAATTCATCTTATGTTAGGCTGCTCCCTGGATTGTCCGAGCTAAAACCAAAACCAGTCAATTCCAACTTCAATATAAAAAACTTCATTTGGAATTTAGACAGATAGAATGGCTAAAACATAAATTTCAGGGCATGGCCAGCATATTCAAATTGGGACCATAGGTTTGAACTTGTGTCCCTTTACTTGACTGCGAAAAGATAAAGCTCTTAATGTGAGAGTTTAAATCACTTCTAAAATGTCTGATATTTGAACAATCTGAATTTGAGTGAACTTACCAATGTTGGAAAAATCAGATTGTGGAACCTAAATTAACCCTACCACTGACCCATTTCTAAATGCATATATTCATAAAATACATATGCATTCTGGAACCTTTTGTTGATAAGCAACAGTAAAAGGGAGTTTATTGCTTTAAGGAGAATTCACATCTTATCCAGAAATTTGGATAGCCAGATACACAGAGGAATAGCTAAAATGCTGACTACCCCAGATCAGTTACAAAATTTGGAAGCTATAATCCACACCCTGGCCCAGGTTGGTTTTCAACTATTTTCATTCGGCTTCAGTTCATGCATATATATATATTAAATTTAATTTTTTTTAATTTATTTTCTTAATAATACCACTTCCACTGCAATTATTAATTAACTTTGTTGTTTTAAATTTTTATCCAATCAAACCATGTTTCCTAGTTTAATTAATAAGTTAGCTACCCGACCAAACCAATACGACCTGAGTTGGCCAGTTTCAACTAATGGTCTGTCAGTTTCAGGTGGCCAATTTCCCAACCCGACCAGGTTGGTTAAGTTGGCCAAACAGCCTGCAACCAAACCAAATCGACCCATGAATACTCCTAGTCCCAGGTATGTCCGATACAAGATTGTTGTTTATGAATTCTGATTTAACTATGAATCATCTAGACTATTGCCTGATTTTGGTGTTCATCTAAACAAGGAATTCATGTTGGCAGCCAAAGCTCTAGCTTCTTTAACTAGAAATCTATCCAAAGTACTTACCTCCCCTGTATGTTATTCAAGCTGTGTACCCTATATGCATAAAAAATAAAATAAAATACACCACAGTTCTCTGGATTAGATCCCAACATTTTCTAAACCATTGTTCACCATGAGAATTGCAATGTTCAAACAGCAGATCCACCACCATGACCGTACATTATGCTTCTAGCTGATCAACCATGCTTTATTTTTGTTTTACAAAATTAACTTGGTTTTTATCTTGAGTCTCAGACAAATAAATGCATGACATCCTGCCATCATTTTTTAATAGGCACCAAGGTCAGTAACTGTTGCCAGGGATGATGCAACAGACCTTTGTTTATAATGGTTAGAAAACCTGTTCCATTATGTACTGAACGTACCTGATGCATGTAGCTTCGGAAGAGCTCATTTTGTTTCTTCACTCTCTGTACAAAACGCTTTGGAGCAATGACACCTGTTTTCTTCTTCTGAGAACTTATCTGCATTAAAGCAATAGATTCTTTTAACAATGGAAAGATGTATGATGTTGAAAAAAAAAATAAAAAAGAAAGATTCCCAAAAGATATAAGATCATTATGTGGCTAATGATTCAAAACCATGCACATCATATACGAGTATTTTTAATTATTATAAAACGAAGTTCCTCCCAGATATATATGAGATAATCCGAGTCTTCCAACTATAGGAGGTGAACAAATTAAACTGTATGCACATAAAAAGGTGTGCAAGTGTCATGTTTTAACACTTGCTCTGGATTTTGTCGAGGAAAAAGAATAAAAGAACAAAAAGGCCACAACTAGGGGCAAACCCACCAAGAAGGCAGACAAGAAAATATCATAATTGAGAATTGTGTCTAGATATAAGTTCACCACATAATGGAGACTATGTACAATTGGATCCCTAGGTCTGTCAATATAGGTTAGCAGACAGCCCAGCAAGATTGGGGATCAACAAGAATGAACTGAAGTAGGAAATACCAGGCCGAGGGGCAACATCTGTAGTTTAATTGCTACTTGAGCATTTGATACTGGTCAGCCTATGGCTGTAATGCTTATGAGTTGTCCACCTCCCTATCTACTGGAGTGTAGGTTATCTTTACATATCTTATTTTCTGCAATAAAATTAATTGTTATTGATAAAAAATAAATAAAACAAAATTTGCTTATGCATCTTAAAATTGTCTTGATCTATTCAAAATATCAATTGATTTAGTTGGATAAACCAATCCAGGGTGTCTGTTCAGAATCATCATTAAATGATCATATCTTTTGAGTCTTCTGCAATCATAATTTCTCCAGTAGAATTGTTGGAAAGAACTTAATATCACAACTTCTAGAAACAATATATGGGTCTAGATGACCAACAGAGGACCAAAGTCTCAATACAAGGCTCATGACCTGTTGGTTGTAAGCTAAACGAAAGTCAATGTGCGAAAGTGTCAAATCAAAGCCAAACTAGCATCGGTGTATGATTGGATAGACAATGTGCTAACCTGTTTACGTATGGTGGTTGACTAGATTGTACAATGCTAACCAAATTGGATATCCAAAATGGCCCTTAGGCCTTAGTAGACAAATAGACTCCCCTAGCTAGAAAAAAAAAAGGCAATTACCCAGTATTGGTCTCAGCTATCTGAGGTTCTGGGAGGGGTGGACTGAATACAGACCAAACCTTTGGCTCTTTTTTTTTTTTTTTGCACAAAGTGGCAGTTCGCCAGTTCTCAGACTCAAATCTACATTCTCAACCTTGTCAGCCTGAGATTTTACCATTACACCAAGCAATGGCCCCTTCTCTAGGTAGATGCTAACTCCTAAAACCAAGCCACCAATTGGTGCCAGGTAAAAAAAAAAATTACCACTTTTAGCTAATTCATTTGCAAAGCACCAATGTCCGCACAAAGTATTAGAAGAGGGTGCAGACTGCAGACAGCCATACAAAATCCTTCTCAGCTTCTCTTTTCCCCAAGTCCCCAACAAAAGGGAGAAGGGAACATGATCAATGAAAACGTAGCCCATAGGGCTACATGGGCCATACCCACACCACATGAAAGCAAGAAATCTATGCATCCTACACAAGTTGGCAGACTAAAGAGTCATTTCACCAAACCTTTACCAACCATCCCAAAAATTGGGGGAGGGGTCTCAAAATTTAATATAGCAAGTATTATAATAGTATTATTCATCAAAAAAAGTATTATAATAGTCTTCATGGGCATTTAAGGAAGTTTTTGGTGGTATGCTCCATAAAGAGAATAGCATTGAAGGAGCATAGATCTCAAGCATGCCCATCTTTTTTTTTTTTTTGAGAAAAGAAAACAACAGTGTTAACATTTTACTCAAGCATGCCTATCTTTGAAATCACAATTGAAATGTATATTCACAATTTGGTTTCTTGTGCCATAAACTTACATTTGTATGCTTGTGAGATCAAAATTTCCAACTGGATGAAGATAATAGAATAAAATTCTATATATCTACCCTAACAAGTTCTTTCTTTTCTCTGTATCTCATCTCTTTGACTTCTACACATTAAAAAAGTTTTAATCAATCTGTTACAGATAAAAGAAATTAAATACAATTGTTATAATGATCTCACTTCTAGCCAACCCTCATCTTCAACATCATCCAAGCCTTATCCCAAGAATATGAGGCCGGCTACATGAATCCTGCTTTGCCAGTCCATTCTGTTTAAATCCAAATCCATTGTTAAATTATTGGCGCTTAAATCATTTCTTACTACATGTACCCATGTCCTTTTTGTCTACCCCTTTCCCTTCTAGTCCCTTCAACTTGTAGCCAACCCTAGTTCCCAAAATATAAGCCACCAAAAGTTGCTTTTACTTTGGTTGACAGTAATACTGAATGCAAAATTCATAAATGTATTATCAAGGTCCTAAAGATGATCCAAGTACGTTGTAACAATTTGGAAAGACCAATAACTGCATTTACTGTGGTTTTGAGGTAATCTGCAAAATTCATAAATGCACTAGCAATACTTTAAGATGATTCAAGTAACCACTGAAACATGCATCAGATTCTAATTCTCATGTATCCATGCAACTTTGTCTCTTTGGAGACATCTGATAAAATTGGAAGTATCCATGCAACTCTGGTTCAGGTATACTCTCCACAAAAAAGATATACACTAGATATTTAGCCCAATTTCATAAATTTTGGAACTTTAGGAAATACAATGAAAAAACTGAAATGCTCCTTAATGAGAGAAATCATTCACTTATTTCAACTAGGAGAACAAAAGAACTCTATATTTCTTTATTAGTGGAAAATAAAACATGACCTACAATGTGTCAGTTATTATTACAAAGTAGCCCAAAAAAGCTCTGCAATATTTGTCCATTGTTTGGCAAGTCTATTAGCCAAACCATTATCTGTTTTAATCAATCTAACCCCCATTTCTTTTGCTAGTTGCCTCACCTCTTGCATTGCTATTCGATGATTTGACACTTGCAAGCGTCCATTTCATCCAATTTAGTACTAACTAAAAAAATCCTTTTTGTTATTTCTTATCAATAACGATCTGTTAAACATAAAAGCAAAACATATGCAGCAAAAAGATCTGCACCCATGGACAAGTGGAAGGGGACCCCAAATTGGTGGTTGAATGGACACAAAGAAAAAAAAATTGGGACTTTGGACCCATGAAAAAGTCATGTGGGATGTCAAATGTCTAGAAGGGAGATTGGGGCCAACTTTAGATGGGCTAGAAGATYAGCAAATGGTTTGGCTGACACTTTATCCAAACAATGGATAAATAGGGAGCAACTATTTTGGGTTGCATTGTAATAGAAAGTTCTTTTTGGGGTCATCTCCCCTGTATTTTGGGATGCTTGGCATATTGTACTCACTACTCACCTTTTAATTGATGAATATAACTATATGAGATGCTCCCCTGAATTGCCAGGGCAAGGTGGGGGAGTCCCCTATGCATCATCTAGACAGTAGGCAGGCAGTATAGTATAGATCAGAACATTTTAATGGAGTCAACAAGAGTGTACATAAAAGTTAGGACTCCTAACCCCTATGGGTATCTACATTACATTAAACCAATCAGGTTATTCAAAAATCTTGACACGTCTTTTTTTTTTTTTTTTTTTGAGGAGCATGTGTACTATAGTTGAAATTTAATCATTTACTGGTGTAGTTTGTCATCAGCTAGCAGCTTACAGCATGATCTATGGAACTGCAAATTTGATTAGAAAAAATAAAATAATTGAGGTGGAAATACAATAGCTAAACAAATACTACTTATGAAAAAAACACAGCTACATAAATACTACATCAAGAACTCAAGTACAAGTTACCTTTTGAAAGCAAATATAATGAACTGACAACAAAGTATTAGTGTCTAATTGGATTCTCTTCTACATTACACAAAAGCAATGTAACTAAAATGTGGCCCACTAATTTCCAATAGAGTTATTACCTGTGTGAATAAGTCTGCCAAGCATGTCAAAAGATTCTCTTCTGCATCACCCTGATTTTTATTATTTGCATAATATTCTAATAACTGTTCCCGGAAAGGAACACAAAAATAAAGAGCCTGTATATAAAACAACCCTGTGTTAGTGTGTTATAGAACAACCATTATAGAAGGTTAGAAACAGATAGCAAGCTAAAATATAGCATGTAAAAACTAAAAAAGCATATGCTCCATAATCATAAATGAACATACTAGGAAATTTTTTTGAATGGAACAACACTCTCATTTGAGTCTGCTGAAATTCCTGTTTCGATTTAAAAAATGAACACCTTGGACGGAAAGAAGAAAATAAAAAATACAATGCATGCATAACCACACTGAATTCTATCTTCTATTTCAAATACAATCTTGAATCTTCATAAATCTATTAGTTCAATTAATTACCAGGAAAATATGGTTAGATTTAAGAAAAAAAAAAGAAGGCCGAACTCAATAATGAATCAATTACTGATTGGAAAAAGGAGACTTCTTTCTAGTAAAAAATGCTAATAAACCCAACCATTGCCCTTCAAACATGAAGTATCTCCCCTAAAACCTTTTTTGGATAAGTTGCATCAACCTAACCTTTAGTCTTACATCCAGACATTTTAAGCCCAACGTTCTTTTATCATTAACTTGGACCGTGGGTCTTTTTCTTTTCTTTCAAACGTGTGGCTGCAACATCCTCTTTCATAACTTACTTTTTAACTCTAAAGCCTTCAAATTTTTAGAAGACGTTTACTAAAAACCTTTTCCTTAATCGGTTCGGTCCACAAAAACAAAACTAGCTTCAAATTTTAAAACCTGAGGTTTTAACTTCAAAACCGAAGTTTATTCTATATCTACGTTACAAAACCCCATCAGAACTCCAAGCTTTCACTAGAGACCGAAATTGATATCAAAATATGAAGGCTTATCTGACAATTCATCCCCAAAGCGCAACAAAGCATTTTAAGATCTTCTAGTTTTTAAAACATCGGGACTAGAAAATACTACTGATATAAATTCCATTTCAGTACCCAAGAATGAATAAAATCCAATTACTTCCGAAGCCGCAGAAGCATAAACCAATCAAATGAGTACTCGAAGACCAAGAAAACATCCGCAAGAATGACGGACAAAGCAAAACCACAGTTGCAAAGTCTTCAAGCGCATGAGACACAAGGATAAATTGGAAATCCACCAAGGATCAAACAGTGATTTAGACAAGACATCAAGCACATGAGACACAAGGATGAATTCGAAATCCAACTACTTCCTTAGTTGCATCAACAAATTCGCAACACCAAAAAGACCTTGGCATGGATTTAGACGAGAAATAACCTAGTTAATCAATCAAAAACGAAATCTGGAAAAAACGAATCATGTAAGTGCAATCAAACCAATAGAAGATTGGCATAGATTTAGACGAACCTGTAAAACGCTGTTACAATAGCAAGTGTTGCCAAAATTCTCGAGTCCGAAGTACCTCTCGCCTTCAGGAAATTGGTCACCAAGAGCTTTCTCGAGTTTCGAGCCCGCGGCACCCATGAGACCATCAACTAGAGACCAAACCTCCTCTCTCTGGCTCTCTCTCTCTCTCCTTCAGCCCTGGAATTCTCGAGCCATGAACAATCGATCAGATTCGGAACTTTCTATGCATCTCTTCGCTGCTCTTTCAGGTTAGGGTTTTGTGAGAAGAGCATCGACAGATAGAAGAATGAAGAAGATAGAGGGAGAAAAAGGAGACAAGAATAAAGAGGGAATTATATCAGAAACGGGAAAATTAGAGACAGAAGAAGCAATGTCCGGCTAAAATGTTGTTTGTAGGTTACGGTAACGTTGATCTACCTTTATTTCTTTCCAATCCTTACATCTTACATATATTTATTTGACTACTCTACTCTTAACTGAACTTGGCTTCAGTCAGTGCGAGGCCCGTTCGAACCGCCTTTATGACCTTGCATTAAGAATATCTTCCAAAATAAAGTACATAGGTACGGATGCAAGGCTGTAAACGGACTTGAACTGACTGAAGCCGATCTCACTCTAACTAAACTTTTTAGTGTGTTGTGACTAAATTACACATGCCTTCTGTCTTGCCTCCCAAGTTCTTCTCTTCCCCATCAAATATCAATTTCAGTTTTATTGGTGATCCAACCAAACTAACGAGCACTCYACCACGCTCTCATTTTGTGATATGGGTGCAATTTGGGTTGGGCCCAAGAAATTAAACTTTTTTTGGGTGGGGCCGAAGAAATTCAATTCAATTATCTGATTTATAACCGAATTAGATTAGATATAACCTTGGATTCAAAATGGGGGTCGGGTGATGTGATGCGTTGGGTTAGGCTAGGGTTTAGGGTAGGGGTGCAATGGAATCAAGATTTAGTCGAACAGTTTGGGGCCGAGTTTGATTTGGTTCGATTTGAATTTGGTGTTAATCAAATTTGAATGTGTTTGATTGCAGTTTATTTGCATTAGTACAAATGCATGGGGGTGCAAATGAAAAAAAAAATATAAATTTTTATTTAATTTTGTTTTAGAATTTATTTTATTCTGCCTCATGTTTATAGGGCAGAATTTATAATAAAATAGGGCAGAATTTATACTCGAATCATTTGTACTGTCATAGTTTTGCATCAATGCAAATTTATTTGCATTACAACCAAACACAGCCTTAAGATAAATTCAATTAATAAATAAAATGTTTAACTCAAAAATTTGTTAAACTGATTTGATTTTTACAACTAAAGTCGAATTCATTATATTTAGTTGAACCAAGAATTAGAAGATATAATTTGAATTGAATTTCAACTCAAACTTGAATGTAAAAATATTTTAATTCAGCAAAGCCAAAACATGTAAATGTTCAGCTCGTCTCCATTGTACCCTTGGTTTAGGGTTGACCTTAGCCGAGCCAATCTGGTCTGAGTTGCACTTCACTTGTTGGACTATAGAGAAATTAGAGGTAGTGTTGTGAGAGACGGACTGGGACCTGATGGTTGAAGCGATGACTCATAACCCTTTTTGGGTCCCGGTTATTTGATTGGGTTTAATGGGTTGAATGGTTCGATTGCCCGGTCAGTATTACGGCTCTAATTGCGTATAAGTACTATGTATTTTGGGTAGTCTTTCTTTAGTATATGAACTTTCAAAAATTGCCACGTGAATATTACAATGGATGATAAATTTACCAAATTGTCCTTTACTGTCATATACAATCGAATACCTTTACAAAACTGACGAATTGGTCTCTTCCATATGCCAACAGATGAGGATCATGGAATACCCTTATTGATAGGTCATTGACAATTTGGTCTTTTCCATATGCTACTTATATCCATCGAACTCACTCCATTTATCTAAGATTGTTAAGTGCGGGGTCAAAGAATTCTTGRCTAGGACTCCAATGAGCAAACGGGATCTGCTCCTCACACAACATGGACGCCTTACAGGCACATCCACTCTGCATTGGGAACATCTCCCATGACTAATAACTTAAGTACAGGAGATATTTTTAATGCATGATAGGATGTGCGTGTGAGGCGCAGATCCAGTCTCTCCGATGGGATGATTTAGAGTTGGTATTAGGGCATCTTTGAGAGGAGGTGGATTGATTGTGAGTTTGGGACTCAACTATTCATCGCTATTTGGGTTTACCTCGAGGGAGAAGATAATGAATGATGTATTCTTTAAAGGATAATTTTGTGATTCTAAAAGTTACAAATCGTATGTGACATAATGTGCATCAGATAATAGAATGTTAATGACCAAGCTCCAATCTCCTACCCACAGGAGACTATAGCTGTACATTGAGAACATCTTCGGTGTTTACATGTTCCCATTCATGGGAGATGTTCCTAATGTACAATTATAGTGCCTTGTGAGTAGGTGTGGATAGGAGATCGGAATTCCTAATGACCATAACTAAAGTGGTAGTTTTCAAGAGTTTAAATATGTAATGACACGTTTTAAGGTTTGAACACTAAATTTAGACTATCTCAAAGTATAGGATAAAAGTATGCAATTTACCCTAATTTATTTTATTCAGTTTTTTCCATTGTTTTGTTACTCTTTTTTAAGCAATTTTGTTTAAATAAAGAATAAAGGGTTCAATGATGTTTTCCCAACTATGAACTAATAGGTGGGGCCTACTTTCATAAAAGAAGTTAAAGGATTTTTCCAGAAGGGAGAACTTCATAGAGAGATAAACAAAACCTTTATTGTGTTAATCCTTAAATGTAGATCCCCAGAAACAGCTAATCAGCTTAGACCCATAAGTCTTTGCAATACCCTGTATAAAACAATAGCCAAGATAATAGTGAACAGACTGAAGTCAATTCTACTAAAAATTATAAGTCAAAATCAAAATGCCTATGCCCTAGGTAGGTTCATTCTGGATAATGTTCTTATTTCCCATGAGTTCATCCACTCTGTGAAAACCACCAAAAAAGAAGAACTTTATGGTTATAAAGTTGGATACGAGTAAGGCTTATGATAGGGTAGAATGGTCTTTTCTAAGGACAGTGATGTAAAAGATGGGATTTTGGCAAAGTTTTATTGTTTGGGTTATGAGTGTGTCTCTTCAGTCTCCTACCAGTTGATCGTAAATGGTAATTTGAGTCAGACTTTCTATCCAGCCAGAGGTCTTAGGCAAGGGGATCCTCTATCCCCGTACTTATTCCTCTTAGTTTCTGAAGTGTTATCTTTAGCTATTCATAATGCTCACTCTCTTGGTAGACTTTTGGGAGTGCAAATGAACATAAATTGCCTTACCATCACAAACCTATTCTTTGTAGATGATTCCTATGTCTTCACAGAAGTAAACATTGAGCAATGAGGGCTGATCCTAGAAATCCTCCACCAATATGGCCAAGCTTCAGGACAACAGGTGAATCTCTCTAAATCTGAAAATTTCTTTAGTCCAAAACTGCATCATAGGTTCCAGAAAATGATATCTAGGGCTATTGGGGTTAAAAAGGTTGGCTCTCCCTCAAACTACCTAGGTTTACTTGCGGGGTTAGGAAAGTCCAAAAAAGAGTATTTTAATTACAATTATGAAAGATTGGAGGCCAAATCAAAGGGATAGAAAACCAACTTTCTTTCTCCTGTAGGAAATGAGGTATTGATAAAAGCAGTGTTAATGGAAGTACCAGCCTATACAATGTTAGCCTTCCTCATTCCAATAGGAATTTGTGAGAAAAAAAAATCGAAGACATTTTTTTGTGGAGGGAGAATAGCAATCAGAAAAAGGTTAACTGGGTGAGTTGGAGCAATATCTATAAAAGTAAATTCTTTGGAGGGTTGGGATTCAAAGACCCTCATCTTTTCAACCCAGCCCTCCTATCAAAGCTCGCTTGGAGGCTATGTACAAACAAGAATAGCCTATGGGGCAAGATTATAAGGGGCAGGTACCTAGGGGATAAGAATTTTTGGAATTATAAAGTCCCCAAGTCCCGCTCTTGGGGTTTTAGAAGTATTTTGGCAAGAAGAGAGATGTTAAGGGAGGGGGCTTGCTGGAGTGTGGCCTTAGGAAAGGACTTGTCTCTATGGGAGGACCCGTGGATTGATGGAATCCCCCATTTCAAACCAATGGGTCCTCAACCTAGATATAGTGAGAAGATTAAAGTAGATGCTTTGATTGATATGCAAACCATGAACTAGGACTATAGGAAGTTAATTGAGGTCTTTGACCATAATACCATTGACAAGATAAGTAAATTTGAAATTCTTAGGCTGGGAGGGGGGGGGGGAAGGATATTCTAATGTGGAACCCAGATCCAAAAGGTAAGTTCTCAGTTAAATCATCCAGCTATTCAGAGTGTAGTCCAAAGCCCCTCTGGCAACAAAATCTGGAAGAAAATTTGGGCCCTTAAAATCCCTCAGAATATAAAGCATTTCATTTGGATATGCTGCCATAACAATATAGTCGTGAAGCAGGTTTTAGTGAGAAGGCAAATAGGAATTGAAGACTTTTGCCCAATTTTGTGGTAGAGAACTTGAATCTGTCACACATGCCTTGTTTATGTGCGATCATGCTAGAGCAGTTTGGTTTGGCAGTGATTTAGCCATTCACGTGGACACTTCATCTCTTTTAACTATTTTTATGATTGGTGGGGATGGTGGATTAATCATGATTAGCATCTATCTTGTGTGGGTGATGACACTCTGGAATTATCTACATTTGTTCTGTGGAATATATGGAAAGCCATAAATGGCTTCATCTTTGATTCTACATCTTCCAACCCTTATAATACTGTGCATGTTGTTCGCAAGTTGAGGATGAAAGTGAAGAGAGTTTCCCTTCCAAGATCAATAGACTATTCTCAGCCTAAAAAGATGGTGGTCAAGCCTTTTTTGCGAAGATGGATGAAGTGTGAAGGTTGCATTGCTATGACTGATGGAAGCTTTGGAGCTGATAGAAGCACCTATGGTTTTTGGTTTTCTATTGATAGAGGGCATTTCTTTTTTGCTAAGTGTGGACCTTGCTTCTATGTAGAGGCCACAACATTTCTTGAGTGTTTTTGTTTATTTATGGTATGGGCCTAAGGTTTGTAAATATTTTTTGCGACTCTTCTACTATAGTTTTTGTSATCGCTAGGAACTCTTTTCATTGTGATCCTAGTATTTGGCTGATCCTTCACAACTTGTATGTGTTGTCTAACTTATCCTTGAAGGTAAGATTAGCGAAAAGGGACTCTATTGGAGCAACGCATAGACTGGCTGCTAAGGGCCAGAATGGTGTTCAGGAATTTTGGGAGCACCCCCTGCTTTGGATGCTTCCCCTTTTTAGTGCYGAAGATGTCTTGCAGGTGCCTGACTTGGAGGGAGGGGTCTTTGATCCTCCTTAGTTTTCTGTTTTTTTTCCCAGTTTTTTCTTTTATTTGTTGTTGTGTTTTGTTTGTTTTATCAACCTCAAAAAAAAACTATGAATTAAAAGGTCACGTGGCAAGTTATGGCCCCAAACCTTGAGTTCAAATCAGCCCTCCACAACGTCCCACAATACATCCTCATAATGTATTTGAAACATTTCCCAATGATAATACTAGAAATGGTGATATCATCATCAGAAGATATTCTCAATATACCGCGGAGACATGCTATGGGAAGTTGTGGGGGAGGGGGGGGGGGTGATTTGATCTCCCAAACCTCATCTACAAGTCAAGATAGCAAGAGAACAATCTTCGGTACTTGTAGATACAACTAGGACCAGTAGTTGTTGACTAATGAGTAGCTTCACGAAACTCCCTATACAAGTAGGACCAGTAGTTTATCATATACCGTTTGAAGGGTTGGGCGTTGAGAAAGTCAGTGTCATCAGGTTTCTCTCGGTCATAATTTATGCTTTTAAAATTCTAAATCGTAGAAAAGTAGAAGAAGAAAGAATATCATGATTAATCATTTAACTGATCTCAGAAGAAGTCCAGGTCTAGTTGAGGTCCAGGCCCAATCCAGCCCACTGCTCCACGATTGAGGTTAAGTGGCTTTTCAGTCATTTTAAAAATGATCTATTTATTTTATTTTTAATAAGAAAAGAGCGTTATCCATAGATATACTACAACTGTTCTCTCTACTCATCACTCTCAGACTGAGCGGGTGGGCGAGCGGGAGAAACGAAAGATCGTGAAAATGCTGAGCCTCTCTGTAGCTGCTCCTTCGAGCGTTTTCTGTTCCTCTTCAAAAATCATATCCGCAAATGCGAAATCATCCTCCTTCCATGGCATCCGAATTCAGCATGTCCTGCCACTTCGGATGCCCTCTTCGCGAAACCCTGCTTCGTCTGTGGTGATGATGGCGAAGAGAGAGGAAGAACTGAAGGAGATTAGAGCCAAGACCACCGAAGAACTAAACGAAGAGATTGTCGATCTCAAGGGTGAACTCTTCATGCTCCGATTGCAGAAATCAGTCCGTAATGAGTTCAAATCCAGCGACTTCCGTCGAATGCGAAAAAGAGTAAGATATTCCAAGTTATTTCATCTCTGAGTTTTCGATAAGTTAATTTTGTTTAGGGTAAAAGACTTGAACCTCCCTTCATCTTTGACCTAAATACTGAAACTTCCCCTATCTTTTTAAAATGAACTTAAGCCTCTCCTCTCGGGTAATTCATGGGACAAAGACCTCCCCAGTCCCCTCCTCTAGCAATCCGTTAGCAATCTGTTTACATGTGACCTTATGTTTGGGTGAATTTTTTAAAAACCCAGTTTTGCCCTTTTTGTACGGGAAATCATATAGTGTAAAATAATTTTTCTCTTTTTGCTGGGAAATCCAATCAAATCTGGTTTATTAGTGCAAGAAAAAGAAGTGAATACCGAAAAATTCCAGGTTGCAACCTAGGAATGATTCAGAAGAGGTTGTGACCGAGAAATTCCAACTTGTTCAATCAAGTTCCATGTTCATCAGTGGTAATAGAGAACAAGGGAGAGAGAGGGAAAGAGAGAAAGGAGGACAAGAAATAGATAAAAAGGATATTAGGAAGATGAATAAAACGAAAACAGGGGGGGGGGGCGTTGGTTGATTGAATTTTGTTCAAAACAGAATAGTTGTAGGAAGTTTAAATCTTAAACAACTTTTTATCTTAATTAGTTTACTTTCTCTAATTTATTTTTTTTCTTCAAAACCTTTGTAAACACTTCCTTCCTTGTAACGGACTTTATTGGATTGTCTTCTCTTTGTATCTCCATTTCTTTGTTTTCCTAGTGTTTGTTTCTTTTCATATTTCTCCATGTGATGAAATCGTGGATAGGCATCCGTAGCAGAAAAAAGAAAAGGGTTCCGATAATGAAGCAAGGACATTACAGATCTTGCTTGTAGCTGAGAGAGATCAGACAAGTCATGGATTTCACCGTAACCACTGGAATTCGATTTCCCAGACAACTATAAAAAGAGATCAGACTCTGGAGTTTGATTTCTCGTGTCTAACATAAATTGTGTTAATATTATTTAAAGCTGCCACATTTTGGTTATGAGGAAAAGTCAGATAAATGCCCAGCACGATTTTTGATAAGACAGATTCATTTTGAAAATTTGAAGAATTAGCAATGGCATAAGAGACTTTTGGATAATTCAGTTAAATATTACTCTAGTAGGAGAGGTCTTAGTCCATTTTAAAAAGAGAGGGGAGGTTTTGGTATTTATGAGAAATGTGAAGGAAGGTTTAAGTCTTTTACCCTTTTGTTTATATTCTCCGACTTTTCGTGGGAAAATTGAAACGTAAAATAAACCGACTTCTCTTTGCTGCTTCCTTAAAAAGAGAGGGCAAAGAGGCTATAGAGCCGTTGGGGCTTTGGAAATGTGGTAGACGGGTGGTTTTTTATGTTAATAAAGATGGTATGGTTCTCTTTTATTGATATTGACTAGACAAGAAGGGGAGAAAAGGAAAGGAAGGATCAAAACTCAAGAGGACTGGCTCTGTACAATATGCCGGGTTGTGGTGTTCACTGTTTAGTTTTCTTGCTGAAGAGGTACTAAGTCATAAAAGTTGTTCACATGAAAAAGGGGAAAACGACTTGTGTGTTTGAAAGATAAGAAACAAATGGAGCATGTGAGGTATTGCATGTAATTATATCATAAACAGTCTCTGTTGAAAATTCCTAATAGGGCAAATGGAGCATTTTCTTATGGTGGAGAAACAATTATTTTGTTCTCAAAAAGAACTACTGATGCTTTTGGCCTCAACTAAGTTTTAGAAATGTAACATGTTTGACTAGGGTTTTCCATTGACTACTAAATTTGAAGTTCCCCTGGTATCAAAATTGTTTTCTAATGGCTAAGCTCAATGCCCAGTTTGTCTGTACTCAGATTTGATCCCAGACATCAACTTCAACCACCCAAGAATTTATCAATGAGGCTAGCTCGTTTTGTTTTGAAACCAAAGCTCTACTCCACATCACTATGACAAGTGTTATCGCCTTTTCTTGTTATTGTGGTTGTTTCGTTTTTTGCCTCTTTTCCATTTTTTTTTTCAGTCAGGGGAAAGAAAAGGAAGAAGGTAGACTCGGATTGTTGTTGGACTTGTCTAATTCCATCAATGTTGTTGCATGGTCACATAGACATGGGAATCAGAATCTAAATAGGCAAGATAGCAAGATTATAAATGGACTTTATGACATGTCTATTGAAAAGTACAGACTCTTGGAATAAATCATAATTTCACACACACACACACATACATACCTATAGAAAAAGGTCTAAGAGTTTATCTTTGTCAATGTATTTTTTGGAAAAATGGCATCCATTGTGACGTGTACTTTGGCTGTTTGTTTGTCAAATAGTCAGAAAAGAAAGGGTTATGTAGAAGTATCCCCTCAATAATCCATGGAGTGTTTGGATTTAATATCCAACAGGGACATTTCATCCATTTATAAGAGTCCCTGAAATGCTATATTCCATAATGAGCTAATAAGACATTACAATCTATTTTCACTTTTCTCCCCTTCTGGATGTCATTATATTCCTTTTTTTCATACTCACATGTTAAGTCACCAATACCATTACAAATTCTTCCTTATCTATTAGACTTTCTTTGCTTGTATCTTTGGGCATAAAGGCTTAAGGCACTTTGGAGACTTTTACCCTCACTAAGTGGTTTGTGATGTTATCATTCTATAATGATCAATCCTTTTTCTCTAAGCACAGATTGCACGCATGCTTACAGTAAGAAGGGAAAGAGAGATTGAAGAGGGAATCAACAAGAGGTTATCAAGAAAGCTTGACCGGCAATGGAAGAAAAACATTATTGTCAGGCCGCCACCATCTCTCAAGAAATTGCAAGAGGAGGAGGCAGCAGCAGAAAAAGCAGAAGCAGAAAAGTCAACATGAGCCTGACTTTCACATTGTAATCACTTTGGTCTTTGGTAGCAGAGTAGCAGCATTAGTTGAATTTGTCAATCTTTCTGTATCACATCATCAATTTATTTAGACAGTTAATTTCTTCTTGTGGAAGGGAGTATAATTTAAATACATGTTTTTTTGTGTATGTGTGTAAGGACTTGAAAGTTGAAAGTAGTTGCCTCAATGCTTGCTGATGAATATGAATCAGTTGCAGGTGGGGCCCTTCTTCAGAGGTGGCAATTGCATTGGGTTATTCTGATCTGAGCCGGTACCACTCTATTATAGGACTCCCTGTTCCTGATTAATAAATTTGAACCATCTCAGGTTGGTGAAATATTATCTGGCCTTGGGCTGCACATTTTGTCAGGATTTTGCTAGTGCAACCGTGAGTCAGCGCACAAAATACTAACAGAAGTTGTCTATGGTTTCATAATATTCATCTTCTAATCTACTTAGCCATCATCCTTTATCCCTTACATTCTTTCCGCAGTAATTCTTGTTCCCACACAAGTACATAACTACATGGTACCTGGTAGTCCCAGAATTTAGCTGGCAAAAACAAAAAACTGTCTTTTTATGGGATTATGAAAAAGCTGGAAAAGGAAAATAAACCTGAAGCTACTTAAAACCCTGATGCAAGGTTAAGATTAGTGGTTATTTTTTTAAAATCTGAATTCTGAACACATCATAACACTAGAAGCGGCTTACTCTCGAGAAGAGAGGAATTAAGACTGAGGGTCCGTTTGGTTTGCAGTCGGAATTGGAATTGAAATCCTTCGGAATTGGAATGGTCTATTCCTATAATTTATTTGGTTCAGATAGGAATGAGAATGAGAATTAAAATCAGTAGGAATGGGGTTTCATTCCCAAAWAATAGGTAAGAAATGACCATTCCTTCAAACGGGAGAATGTCATTCCAGTAGGAATAGGATTGAGATTCTGATTCCGATTTCAGACCCCTATTCCTGTGAATCAAACGGGGCCTGATACKGGATTATTACGTAATTTACCAATATGGTTTGCTTTCTAATGTGAGCGAGTGGACGACTGGACATTGCCATTGGTTGGCCACTGCCCACTGGTTGAGATTCGCATATCATTTCTTTATATTACTAAGCTGAGCAATGCAAGAGGTGTTATGTCCTGTCCTGTGAATTAAGAGAGAACGCCATGCTAGCACTCGCCTAGCAACTTTATGGAAGCAGTGCACTCCGGCAATGTGCATATGGCTACAAAGCACAGATGTGATTTATGATTCTGAAGTAGTACAATTTAATCACTAGTTTAATTGCACTCTAAATTTTGTAAATTTATTTGCACCAGTACGAATTCATGAAAATTAAAATGAAGAGTGCAAATTCTGCTTCACTTTCGGTTCATGCTTTACTTCAATTGCACTGCACACAAAACAAGGTAGGACCTCAAATAAAAGTAATTAAGAATTTGTTTAGACCAGTGCAAATAGAATTGCACTGCAAACAAAATAAAGGAACTTAATCAAAATCGATATCCATTAATTCCTTTCTTAGGCAATTTCCATCATACTGGAAAAGATGATACCTTGAAAAGAAACAAAATATGCACATGTTAAAAACATTGTTTTTTTAATACTTACACCCTTCATGCGTTTTGGTAAATGGAGGGGAGAAAGTTGATTAATGGAAAAGTGGTTTCCGTTGCCCGACAATCCTATATTAATTTTTTGATAAATTATGGACCCTACAATAAAATATTATGAGATAAAATTGCCTCCTTCTAATACTAACATTTTATGGGTAAAAATGGTCAATGTTTAATTTGCTTAAAAAATACATTTCATCAAAAATAATATGGGCAAGTGCACTTATCTAGATAAATATTTTCTTAATAAATGAACAAAGCCTTATAACTAATGCCTAATGGTTACAATTGATATAATTGAGTATTGTTATTTTCAAAAATGTCACCCCCATCCAATGTTTTAAAACATGGAGATGTGATGTAAAGCGTTTTAATACCTAGAGGTGTGAGGCATAGTTCAAAACGTATTGGGCTTAATCCTCCCAAATATAAGGAGGCATAAGTCTCCTTAAGAGGGGGAGGAGGAAAGATCACCTTTTATTTTCTTTTTCTTTTTCTTTTTCTTTTTCTTTTTCTCTTTTTTTTTTTCTTTTTTCTTTTTTACTTTCCTTTTCTTTCTTTTTATCTTTTTATATGAGGTGTGCCTAAGGTGCATCACGCCTCATGAAAAAAGCGATTGAGGTGTACACCTCTTGCACCTGAGGCATATACCTCAATGCCTCGGGGCGTTTTGGGGGTGCTGCCTCCAAGCCTATGCCTTTTAAAACACTGCCCCATCATTGGTCTAAATCACAATTTAAGTTCAAATGAATTATTCAGAAAAGTTTTAATTAAGATATACAATTAAAATGAAACAATTAACAAAGTAGTTTATCATGAGAAGTCTGAACTCAATTTAAGAGTCATCATCATCATCATTGAAGCCATATCCCAACAATATGGACTAGTCACATGAATCCTACTTCGTCATTCCATTTTGTTCAATGACATATCCATCATTAAATTATTAAAACACGAGTGCTTAAATCTTCTCTTATTAGTTCCACTTAAGTCCTTTGGGATACGCTTCTAGTTCTTCTAGCCCCTTCAATTTGTCGTGAAGAAAAATTGAAAAATTCTAATCTAGTTTTTTTTTTTGGTAGGGTGGGGGGTGATGGTGGTGGTGGTGAGCAAATGGGCATCTGGTTAAATCGAGATTGAAGACTTTGATAAGTCATTTGCCAAAGACTAAACTGTAATTTTCTGGACAGGTTCACCATATAAATCAGATTATTTGTGGAGAAACCCCATCCTACCTAGTTCAATTGCCGACTTATCTAAATTTTAGATTATCAAATTACCGGTACAGAAGTAGAATCACTTGTATGTTGAATTGTATGCCATCTCCATCGTCGTTCCCCTTAGATAATAGGAAGCACAAATGAAACTTCATAACACAACAAGGCTCTGAGCTTTTCATCTTCTGGATTTGACGACTATATAAATGGTGGTTATTCTTTTCTTATTGGCTTTCTATATGGGAAGGCATGTGGGTAACCCCAGTTTGCAACCAAATCACCTTGTACTTTATATCAATCAACTTGTAATAGTAAATAGTTGCCTGGTTACTTCTAAAAGACTAAAACCCTAATCAAAAGTTCAGAACAATCAAATGATCTGTTGAGTGTTGAGTCTGTTGACCATCCCAGAAGTACACAGAATGACAGAACTTGGGCCTTGGTGGCAATATGGTATTTCCTCTCGTTACTGAAAACGATAAAGCAATTTGTTCATTGTTTAGGAAAAAAACAAAGAAATTCATCTTAAACTAGCTGAGAATGATACAGATTTCTTGACACAAATATATGATGGAAGTCCAGAAATTATAATCTAGACGAGGAAGCGTTACATGTCATATATATCGAATGGCATCTTGTGTTGAGTGAGAGAGGTAGCAGGTAGTTCACTAGTTGGACACAAACATCCACCATTTGTAAAGACCAAAGCCATAGACTGTTGTGTACAAAATTATCCTCAACGGGTAGATTCTAAACCTGCAAAACAATAACAAACCGGATTCAGGAATGATCACTAATGCTTTCAAACAAGATATTAGCTCTATCTTCAATTGGATGAGTGGACGAGGTCGTGGAGTAAAGATTTACACTTCTTAAGATCCCTTTGCAGAAACAGAACTTAGAAACTCTCTAGCTCCAACTGAGCAATTATGTTGACGCATTTTATGTAAGCCTCAAGTAGTTTGTTTTAATGGTGTTTAATTAAGCAAGCATTATATGATCACGGCTCTACAAACAAAATGAAGGAAAAATGAACAGTACGAAGAAGTAATGGAACCAAGACCAAACCTTTAGATCTATTTATAAGAGTTCAGAAACGAAAAGGATAGCGAACTTCAGATCTAAAAGAGTAATAGAGAAAACTTACCCGGTCGATTTGGATCTCTGAGAAGAATTGGCGTCTCCTTGTTCGGTGGTCATTGGGTAAAACCACTGAGAGAAATCGCGGTCGAAGAACTCCCAGTCGGGGAGAAGCAGACCGGCGATGGCGAAGAGACCGGAGAAGTAAGTGACTATCATCTTCTTGAATGAGTAAGTGAAGGCTCCGACTAATAGCACCACCGCGCCCAAGAAAAGCAGAGAAGACCGGAGAACGGCGTCGTTCGCCATCGCCATGCCAGACGGCTGCTGGTGCCGAAAATGAGAAACCCTAACCTCGGACGAAAAGCTAACCCTAGAAAAGAGTCAAAAGACGAAGACGCAGTTAAAGTGTTTGATTGAGGGCCTCGGCGAAGATAATAGGGGTGGAACGTGGAAAAGAGGCATGAACAGATGAACTGCTGTTGTCCGTTGATAATTGACATTGGATTGTTGGCAACTTGCTTGGCATTAAATGAAGACGGTGGCTGCCAGTCACTCTGCCGGTGCGGGGTGCGGGGTGCGGGCTGGCGCCCAAGTCAATAGTCATTTCCCAATTTACACCCTTTAGTTTAGGTCCCATATCGTTTGGTGCAATGCAAGTTTGGCATGAGAAAGTAGAAATTCTATAAAAGAATTCCTGACCATGTGGTCAAGATCTTCATCCTGCAGTACGGTCGATGCCTTGCCAATGAATCATGCTCAAAATCTGCAATTTCTGAACTCCGCTTATATTTTTATTTACCGAAAACAACCTCGGGTTATATTAGTCTGAGAGACTCATAGGGTATAAGAAGACCTCAGCCTTGGTATAAATACACCTTTACAGATTACACCATGAATTTATGCGTAAATGGGAAATATTGATATCCATATAAAGTTTTACATAGTCTTTATTAGAAGCAAGTTTTCTTCGATTAGGGAAAGTACAGGGTATTTTGGATCGACTGATAATTTGGTCTCCCAATTCTAAAATGTCGTAATACCCAAAACTCTGGAAACGTGATATTTAGGTACTTGACCGTTAACACCATCATATATGGAATAAATAATTATAATAAAAGAAGCGTAAAAGACTCGTTCATCTTCAGTCGAAGATGTTGATGATGGAGGGAAATTCAAGTCTTGAAGACCTGGATGGCTGGAACTGTTCGATTCTGTTGCTGATGGTTATATTCAGGCGACTATGATGAGTTGGGTGGCTTGCATCTCTGAAGGTAAACTTTTCTGACAGCAATGGAAAATTGAGAGATGCGTTTGATCAGACACAATCGCAAAAGCAGTCAAAAGTACAGCATTTCAGTATTTTGCATAAATACAAGAAATAGAGAGGAATTGCTTTTGCTTGTTCCAAAGAAGAAAAAAGAGTTTAATTTCTGGAGAAGGTACTAGTTTGAAACTCAGAGAGAGAAAGAGAGAAAGTAGAAGAAAGAAAAAGAGTGTCAGAGAAATAGCTGAAAAAGGGATAAAGCCTCGAGGAATCCAAGTTCAAACTCAGAGGATATAGAATTGCATAGAGAATAGAAAGATATATAATTAAAACAATTTTAGCGTTTAAAAATAATAACCATCACTTCTTATGAATTCTCTTAAACTCACTGAAGAGAGTGTCAGCTTATTAAATATTTTTTGATCAAAAATGCCCTTAAGTGCCCAATCCAATTCCATATATAATTTTCCTGCTCACTATCTCCCTCTCTCTATCAACGATTTCTGTCTCTTCCCCTTCTATTCCCACCCCTTCACCCTCACCCTCACCAACACACAATGCCGATCTCACCGCCGTGAACAAGCCCTCGCATCCCCTCTCTCCGCTGTAACCCTCACACCCCCTCTCTCTCTTCTCTTCTCCTCCCTCGACCATCGAAAACGGCAAGGCTCGCCACAACAACTCTTTTGGAGATACTTGTCACAAAGTGAATGGAATTGCGAATAAAATGCAACAGAATTATAGTAATTCAGGAATTCCAGACTCGAGTTTAGGATTATTAACCCTATTCGTCTCAAACTGAAACACTATCATTGCACAACACAAATGTTTGGATTTTTCTCTTTAACAGATGAGTAACCCAAATAGATCCAGAGTGCAACAGATGGCAATCACATATTTTGATGTGTGTTGAACTACTCTATCCTTCACGTGGCTTCATGTTGAGAAGTTGTCATATATCATCCCTCCACTTCATTTCCCAAGTCAAATTTAATCTCCTATTGTTAACACCTCTACTGAACAGTAATATCTTAGCTTCTTATAATTGTCGGCGTTCACCCTCTTCTGTATCAATTCAATCTTTCAAATAGCAACTAGCAAAACATATTATAAACCATGGCCCTTCTAATCAAAATGGAATATTTCATCTCCGGAAGTTTATTGTTGAGCACTATAATACAATTTTGCAAATGTGTGCTATAAAGAGGTAGTGGGATTTGGGAGTAGATGTGTAAATCGGGTTGTGTCACTTGCGGCCCGGTACGGCTTGGCACGAACTTGGACCGGTCCAATACGGTCCGGAATGATAGTTCACAGCTCATGCCAGGCCCGGCACGACTATGCGGGCTATGCTGGGCCTGGGGTTTTAGGTCCACGCGCTGGAATGGCACGGCATGGCCCGACACGACCCATATATATTTATCTGAATTTTATATATAGTTATATAATATTATATAAATTATAATTATATAATATATTAATAAAATAAATATGTTTTTTAATTTTGCTATACTAATTTATCTAATTATTGCATACATAAGCAATTTTATACACAAAATTCATATAAAATTAAAATTTTAAGTTTTTGGTCAATTTTTTTTTTAAATAAATAGCTTTGGACTGATGCACAACCCGACCTGACCCAAGGCTCAGCCCATGGGACAGCTTAGCCCCACACGGACCTGGACTGTAGGCCATGCCGAACTGACCCCTAAATTTTTCACTGGGGAGGGCAGTACGGCCCGTGATGGCCCGCGGGCCAGCATGACACGGCCCACTTTACACCTCTGCTTGGGAGGGAGGAGAAGAAGAGATGGACCAAGCGGGTTAATTGTGTTTGATAATCTTTGGAGTCCATACTGGTAACACCTCTTCAACGAGAGCATCCCCTCTTTCTCTTTCTAAATGCTCTCGTCTTCGCACCCTCTTCTTGCAGTACAATTCATTTTCCGGTCGTCTTCCGCCAGATATCTTCAACCTCATTGACCTTCAAGTTCTCAACGTAGCTCAGAATCTTCTCTCCGGAGGAATCTCTGGTGATATCCCGTAGAGTCTCCGATATCTGGATTTTGATGCGGACTATTTCATATAAAATATTCTTGTTTGATGATGTGGCAGCCACGAGTGTTTTTGACACAAGAACGATGCCAACACGTCTGTCCTGATATTATAATATTTACACTCATGTGTGATGGATAAAACATTTAGGTTAAATAATAAAATGAGCCGAACATAATAAAGGGTAAAATAGTAAATTAACGATATCTGTTAGTCAAGTTACCATTATCTCACTGACATAGAGAGTTTTGGATAGTTATGTTGAGTTTAAGATAATTCATAAAAAAATGATGATGGGTTTTAGGCAATTTCCTTAAAAAAAGAAGTCCAGGATCACTAATTAGGTTTTTAAAATCCAAACTTCAGAAAAAAAATTAAAAAAGAAATAGAGAAAGGGCAACAAATTAGTGCTTTAAAGCAAAAGAATCACCAAAAAAGCATTAGAGAATAAATATTGATCGGAAACCAAGAAAAAAAAAATTACAACATGAACTTAAACAAAACCAACCAAGAAAAAGCATTCAAATTCATGTTATAAAACAGAAGAATCACATGAAAATGATAAAGAATAAGGGTTAATCGGAAACCCAAAAGTACCTTCAAATCAAGACGTTTTTCCCAGCCATTAGGGACCTGCAAGTCGACATCAAATTCAGTGGAACCAAGCTTCGAAGAACACCCACCAAGACGTTTTACCTTGTATTAAGTAACATAGAAAATGGATAGAAATAAAATAGCAAAAAAAAAAAAAAACCTTGTTTGTCTCCTCCGGCATCGGCAACAAGCATTCTCTTCTCTAATGACAGTGGGATTGAAAACACTTCTAATAGCGGCAATGCTCTCTTTTCTGGTGATATTTTCCCAATAAGCGTTTCTTGTTCCGATAACAAGTGTTCCCTCCAGTGATGTTTTCCGGTTTTCCTTTTCCCCTTTATTTCAGCTTTTCTGGCGGCATATTCTACTTATTTAGCACCGGGGGGGAGAACTGTGCTCTTCGGAAGGTTAGAGTGGTGAACAATGGTTCCCACTCGCAAAGAAAGGTTATTATATTGGAGGTCATTTTCGTCATTTTGAAAATGACTCAAATTCGGTTATCAAAAATGAGATGGGTATTTACATCTTTTTACGTGCTGCTTGAAGGTCTGTTAACGACAGGTACCATATTATTGCATTTTGAAAGTTCSGATTCTGGATAGTTGCATATTAAAGTTTGGGGACYAAATTATAAATCAAGCCAAAGTACATGATACTTATCATGAATTTTCCCCTTCAATTATTGATGCAAAACTAGACTTGCATAGAATTTTACATTGATTTTCGATAATTATTTACACTTCGTCCAAACAACTATAAAACTGGAATGAAGTATAATATAACACTGGTTCAATATTTACCCCACAAACAATCACAGCTAAATAGATGTAAACATGAATTTCAATAAAGCATATRTCTTTTTTTTTATCAAAAACTTACTTAAATACAAATTTACTTCTTTTTTATTGATGTACTTCTACATCTTATTATCAATGTAAATATGCATTGGTCTATCATTTATCAATATATAAATGTAATRTTACCAAATACAGACAAAAATAAACCAGAATATAAATTTACCCTGAACCGAAATTTACACTCCATTTGCATCGTTGCCTTAAACATTCATTCCAATATCATATATTTTAAGTTTATTCATATATTTTAAACCGAAATTACTTTTACGAGGCCATTTGATCGATTGTAAGTTTATTCAACATCATATATTTTAAGCATTGTAGTCTAATCTGCCAGGAAAAACCAACGATGCCAAAAAGACAACACTTTGATCAATCACAAATCACAATCCTATAAGTTTTACATGGTTAGCTATTACTTTTATGATATGTCAATCCCCTTCATTTGCATTGGTATGTAATCTGTATTAGTGGATATGATTTAAACTGGTCTCATATTAATTGTAATTTCCAGCATTGGTATTTACAATCTGCATCAAGAGGCAAATAATGACCAGCAAGAGAGACCCAAAGAAGACATTCTATCTCCATCAAAGAATGCTTGTATGTGCAGATTTATCTTTATGGTGCCAGTCATAGATGTATAGAAGATGCAACCAATTCACCTGGTGCATACAATCAATCACATGGAATGGGATTAATTTAGGAGCTAATCTGGTAAACGAAGCATTGTAAGTGGGACAATGTATTTAAGGGGTGTTTTTTTGTCGGATTTTGAGAGGGGGAAAAGTTGGTCAATAGGATTTTGGTTCTTATTCATCAAGAATCTCATGTTCTTTTTTTAGATTTATGTGGGGATCAGGGAAAGTTTATTTTCCCGAGTAAGTGATACCCATCTCGTAGGTGGGTAAATAACTTTCCTAGCTAGGGGGAAAGTTGTCAACACTTGAATAGGACAAAAATGCCATTTTTAATAATGAATTTTTATGGATAAAATGGTAATTGCCTTATTTACATCACAAATAAAAGAACATGGGTAAATACACTTACCCAGATAAGTGTTTTACAGAAAAAACTTACCCAAATAACTGCATTTACCCGAATAAATAACTTACCGAAAAACGAACGGGACGTTAAAGCTAAAAGATAGCTTTTTGGTTGAAAGTTGAATAAAAACTATGCATTTAAAGCTAGAAGATGGCATTTAGCTGGCCCAAAAATGTCTTATACTACGTGTTGCATAAATAGTTTTTTTTTTTTTTCTTTTTTGTGGGATATCGGTTTTTCAAATCTGAAAAGAAGAATATATTAAACAATGCATTTAAAGCTAGAAGATAGCTTTTTGGTTGGAAGTTGAATAAAAACTATGTATTTAAAGCTAGAAGATGGCATTTAGCTGGCCCAAAAATGCCTTCTACGTGGTGGGAGGCTAGGCATGTGATTTTATTATATATACACACATACATCTACAATCAATAGACTATTTACAAAAATTTGTTTATTTTTTATTGATTCATATTTCACAAAGTGTATCTATAGCTTAAAAAGATAGACTTAATATTACATTCAACCAATCACATCTTTTAATACATGATGCASCGGAAAACCAATTTTATAACATATAATTAGTATTAGAATTAATTGAATAATATACAATAAATTTTTGCCTAGGCCCGTGTGTTTCGGTTCAATTCGAAAGTGTTGTGATGAAGGGAAATTTGGCCCGACCTCGCAATCGCCCGACATGTGGCAAAGGCAAGCAACTTGGGACAGTAGAGTGCCCGAAGCGAACATCGGAAGCAAGTCCAAGCTCACTACCGAGCTCGAACTCCAGACCGCTCTATTGAGTTCGAGCTCCCTACCAAGAGTCCGACCTCCTAACTAGGAGCCCGAGCTCCCTATTAAGAGCAAGCTCCCTACTGGGAGTCTGAGCTCCCTATTAAGAGAGAGCTCCCTACGGAGAACCCGAGCTCCCTGCAAGGAGCACGAACTATACTGGGCCCCAAGCCTCACAAAGCTGACCCGAGCTGGCCCATGGCAGCTCGGAACACTCCAAACCGAACTCAAGAC